TTAGAGCAGAACCTGGAATATAACTTCTCTATAAGTAAACAATCTCATAATAGCTGTAGATGAGAAACCTCTCATTTTTAAATCATTTTACCTTTTAATCTATGTAAAGAGTTAACATAGCAGGCTTGTGACTGCAGTCCCCAGAAAGGCTTGTTTACAGAGTGGCGTTTGGCTAGTGTCTGGGAATGTAATTAGAAAACTCTCCCTAGGTGATAACAGTGACTCACTGTACCTATCCTGTTTGTATGCACAATGAAGTTTACACTGTGCACCTGCTTTCCTTCTGAGAATCTGGAATTTCAGTGACTATAGTCAGGCACTATGTGCCTACATGACCAGCCTGTGCTACAAATGCTGGAGTCTAGACTCAAACAAGCATCCTTGGTAGACGTTTCACACAATACCACCAGAATCAGGTACATCCTATGCAACTCACTGGGAGAGGACTCCTAGAAGTTGGTGGCTGATTTCCTCCAGACTTTACCTGAGCACCTTTCCCTTTAACAGTTTTGCTTTGTACACTTTCACTATGCCAAGTCATAGCCATATGTACAAGCACATGCTGAATCCTGTGAGTCCTCTCAGCGAATCACCAAATCTGGGGAGTAGTAGTCTTGAGGACCCCTAATAAAATCTATCTGTAAGTGGATTAAACAGTCTCAATGCACGTCAACATCTCTGCCTCTGGAAAGCCATCTCATCTACACAGGGTGTCACAGGATACACCATTCATTTACAAGAAAACAATGAAGATATAGATTAGAGATACAGTACACGGCAATTCGCCCATTAAAATAACCTTGTCTATTGGGCAATAAGATTAAAATTGTAAGGGAGTTATCAGTAAGAACAGGAAAATTCATGTATTTTTCTCGCAAAAAAACCCACAACACCCTGAATAAAATAAAAACACAAGTTGAAGAGTGTTCAAAAATATTTTAATAGCAGTAATATGGCAGACATATCAAACACAGAATTACCAATGTGAAAAATTGACTAAAACAATTTTTTTCTATTGAGAAAAACAACGTTGAAGGAAGTGAAGCTCTACACTACCCTTCCTCCAAACCCAAATCATTCTAAGAACTCACCTCCTACACATGAGCACTGTCTGCTATTTAATCTCCACATCTCTTTAAAGCAATCTGGTGGTACAGCAGACACAACCTTAAAAGAAAGCTCAAAAGGCTTCTCTGAAGGAAATACCTTCTCTGAAGTTAGAGATATTCTCTAAAGGTACATTAATGAAATATAAAGTGAAACTAAATTATTTGTTGGGTTCCTAAGGAAGAGGATCATAGGAACTACATCTCTGCTGCTTTTTGAATGATGGCAAAATAATAAATTTCAAGAATAATAATTTATAACCCTGTTAAAAATTAGAGAAACAAGTCATACATCATGTTACATGTGTTCACCATAAATTTATGTCAACATGTTAAGGGATATCTAATGTACATTTTTTAAATGAAATGAGTTGTTGCATGGTTAACTTGAGAAAAATACAATTAAATGCATTTTAAATTTACAGCATTCAGGGTGCCTTGGTGGCTCAGTCGGTTGAGTGTCCTACTTCGGCTCAGGTCATGATTTCATGGTTTGTGGGTTCGAGCCCTGCATTGGGCTCTGTGCTGACAGCTCGAAGCCTGAAGCCTGCTTTGGGTTCTGTGGCTTCCTCTCTTTCTTTCTGCTCCTTTCCCCCTCACGCTTTGTCTCTGTCTTGCAAAAATAAATAATGTTAAATTTTAAAAATTTATAGCATTCATTCAGATGGTAGTTATTACAATTGAAGCAACTTAAGTTACATATGATAAGTTCTCTCATGTTACTCTCATTCATTCAATGCCTCTTTTCTCTTCCTTTCCACCACTATTTTCCTCCTAATACAAGAGTTTGAAGTCCCAATTAGGTTGTGTCCATGTTTTTTTTATACCTTATTCCTGGCACCAGATCGATGCTCGGTATTCTGGGTAAATGCATAGCAGGCACTTATACACGTTAATTACTGTTGTTAAAATAAGGGGAGAATATGGTAGAAAAATGTATTGTGTAAACTGGACACTGAGACCTAATCTATTACCTAGATTAACTGTATCTGTTACCTAGAATACCGCATCTAGAAGTCAGTTTTCGCAGAATCTCTGCCTTTGCTTCTGTCAGAACATGCAAATCATTTTTAGTCACAAGATAAGAGGTAATCTATGTGTACAACTTGCCGACTCTCTGATGTCATTGATTCTGTCTGTCTATTTAGGCCTACGATGTTTGCCTTCTTGGTGTCTTGGATGGATTCCCCAAACTTGACACCTATAGAATTTGAACATAAATTGAGATCACTCTGGAGCTAATGGCCAGTCATTATAGAGACAGACGTCACTGATGGGACACTTGAGATAACCCTGTCCTAACGATAAAATCCTGCTGCTGTACTGCTTGTGTTCTTCCCATTCTCATTAGATGAACATGACAGAGTAAAAGTATGGCATTTAGGCCAGATAGACTGTAGCAATAAAAGCTGATGCTAAGGAATGTATGCAAAGTACATAATACCTCCCCAACTCATACTAAATAGTGAATACTAAATCTTGTTAACTTTGCGGTAACTATCGCCTAAGCTGTCAAACAGAAGGCAGTTTTTCTCAGGAGGATAACCATAAACACACCTTGAACTCGGCTAGCTAATTTTCACAGTGTACTTCATTACTGACATTTACCAAAGATCATAAGTACCTGCTGAATGAGGACATATTCTAAGTGGAAGGGAGACTTGAACTCCCTGAAGTCCAGCCATTACATTAGGGAGAGTAACATTTGTTTTTGAGTTTATTTATTTTGAGAAAGAGAGAGAGAGGCAGAGAAAAAGAGAGGCAGAGAGAGAATCCCAAGCAGAATCTGCACTGTCAGCATAGCACCTGACTCAGGGCTCCATCCCAAGAACCATGAGATCATGACCCCAGACGAGATCAGGAGTCAGATGCTTAACTGAGCCACCCAGACACCTCAAGAAGACAACATTTAGGCCTGCCTAACCAGCAGCCCTAAATGTTAAAGCCCCAAAGCTTTACCATGTCTCCTCCATAATAGGGTTGAAATTTACACAGGACAGGCCAACTATCCCACATCGTAGTCTGATGGCTGTGGATCTACATAAGGAACCACACAGCATTTTACAATGCTGTATTAATCAGGACTCTTGGTTGCAGTCAAATCCATGTCAAATCAGGTCTAGTAAAAGCAAGGAGAGGAACATATTGACTTGTGTAACTGAAGAGCTGAGGGACAGAGAACATGATATTCAACATAGTTCATCAGGAGTCATGCTGCCTGGATCCCTGCCTCTCAAAATTGTTTTTCTTTGTGTGTTAGTGTCATTGTCTCTTAAAGCACTGTGGGCATCCTCCACACAGCTGGGAAGAATGGCCATCATGAGTGCGGGACTCACATTCCAGCTTTGACTCGATAGCAGAGGCAGCTGCCCATCCAACTTCAACATAATGACTGGTTTGGTTGGGGTCACTTGCACATTACTCACATAGTCATTATTCTCATAACACATACAATGTATGGCCAAACCCTACCTCCGTGATCAGGAGGTGTTCTTTATTGATAGCCCCCAACAGAACTACATAGAATGGCAGCAGATGGTTCCTCTATGTGCAAGGGATGCCGAACAGCGAAAAACAACATAGATTCACTTCAAATGCTTATATACAGACTAATTTGATTGAAATGGCTAGAGTCACTGCCAGCTTCCATCCTTGTTTACTCCATTCTGGCCACACTGGCCTCCTTGCTGTTCTTCAAACAAGCCATACACACCCCTCCCTCTGAGCCTTTGCATTTATGTCTGGAATGCTTCTCTTCCCTCCTTCAGTCTGCACTCAAATATTACCTGTTCAGTGAGGATCACACTAAAATGCAACACCCCGACAGCTCCCATACACACCCATATGACTCAGTTTCAGCTATTTCCTCAGTATTTGTTACCTAATATAGTTCTTCACTTTTTATTGTCTCAAGACAATAACATCAGAACAGAAACTCTTCATTTACTCTCCGATGGATCTCCAGCACCTAGTGCAGTGCCTGGCATATAATAGGTGCTCATTACATATTTGATGAATTAACACACGATGGAATCTAGCAGGGATGCCTTTTCACTCTGTTGGATAACATACACTACAGGATTATACAGGGGAGTACATAATAGTACAGTACATGAATACAGTCCTCATTTATTAGCCTCCCAGGCTTCTACAGTTTAGCAAAATACATCCTAACCTCCATGCTGTGGAACTAAACCAAGGGTGCGATTCCCACAGTTTTCTGGAAAGAGCAATGTCCTTGGATCAATGGAAGTCCTGTCTCACTTCCGTGTTCTGTTTGCGCAATCCGCATAACTAACTAGCTGCCTGGTTTCCTAACTCACATTCCTTTTCCCCACTAGGATTTAAATCCTATTCTGAATCTAACCGGACTGAATCCCCTTTAATACTGATTTCGCCTGATTTTCCTGGACAGTTCCCTCTTGGACTCTATAATTTCCACTGCAGCTCTAAAGGGGATTATTTTTGCCTAGTGATGTGTGTATCAACATCAACGCCAATGATCCGTGAGACAACCAGGTAACTGCGAGGAGTAAAGGGCCCTGGAATCCACCACAGCTTCACAGGTTTTTGCTCCTCCGTTTGACACTCAAGGGCAACACAGCCCAGGTATCTTTTCACCTCTGTAAACCGTTAAACTGCCTGCCCACAATGATATACTAATCAAAGTCACAGTAGTCGGCCAGGGTGCGTGTGAAAGTCAACCACCCGCCTCCGATCTCCCGCCCCCAACCGGCCTGCCCCGCGCCAGGAAACCCCAGCCCCCTCCCCAGTGGAATCAAAGCTCGGAAGGAAACGAGTGAGTCCAGATGCGACTACAATTCCCATCAGGCGTAGCGGGAGCGGGGTCACGCACGCGCAGACGAGACCCTGGTCCTGAGGCCCCAGCCGCGGGGCTTCTGGGAGAGGAAAATGGCAAAACTGAGGCCGCTGCACGCTGTGAGGACGCTGTTTGAGGTGCCGGTGGCGCTGGGGTGCTTGAGCCGAGCGTGCAGCACGTTCCACGCGTTCACGGAAGTGCTCAGGCTGCCAAAGAGACAAATGACGAAGCTTGTGTTCCCACTGCAGGACCTCGAGCGGCAGCTCATGCCGGACTCGAGGTCGGACCTTCACGTGAAGATCTTTGACCCGAGCCTAGAGGACATCTCCAAGGCGGAGAGCGTCTTCACGGCCAGCGCCCGGAACCGCATCAGCTACCTCAGCTCCGCGGTGCGTCTCGACCACGCCCCGGACCTCCCCAGCCCTGAGGTGAGAGCCACCCCCGCCCTCTGGTCGGGCATTTTGGACAGGCATTTTGCCCTCACCTGTTCTCGTCGCCGAACGACAGATCTGTCTAGTCTCGTGTGGACGCATGTAATTATCTTAGCTAAAAAAATGTATATAGTGAATAGTTATTTTGTTGATGAATATGGAAGATTTTAAAAGATTGTAAAAACCCCAAAGTTAACTGGCCTTTTATTATCTTTTTTCTTTTTAATTAAGGAAAGCGTGCGGAGACAGATGAGACCAAGTGAAGAATATGAAAAGTATAATTGTTTCATAAATGTGATGGTCCGTACCAATATGTAATTTTCACCCAAGCCAAATTTCTTGTCGTGCAAAAATAATAATTATGTATACATGGCAATGACGTAGTTTATTTTAAATAACTTTAGTGAAGTTGTGTGAGTGTGCATTTTATGCATGTCTTGCAGATCTCCCTATTTGCAGTAACTGCAACACTGAGGTGGAAACTTTCCTTCTAATTAGAACTGTTAATGGTAGTTTATGTAGTCAGAACTCTAAGGGCGTAGGTAAATCGTTTAATAATTATGAGACAGCATCGTGTTTCCACTTAAGTTCTTGATTCCTGGACCTTTCGTGTAATTTGTTTTTGAAAATTCAGTTTTATTTACACATTATCATTGGATTTAATCTGGCGGAGCTTTTGAAATTTATGCAGGCTTCAGATCAGTTCTTGTTGAAGGACTGACCCCAGTCTTGCGAAATATACTGCGCCCCTGTCCCCTGCTCACTAAGCACCACCCAGTCATATTGATAAGCAGAAATGCCCTTGCAGGTTTCCAAAACACCCCCAGGGGAGTCCTACTACCTTCACTTAGAAGCACTGATTGGTCGTGTACCTCCTTCATACCATGTTAAGAAGCAGAGTCATTTATATTAGTGGTTAGTATCAGGAACATTTTGTCTCTACAGATAGAGATCTAAAGGAGAAAAGCTCAATAGGAGCAATAGAGGTCAGGAGGAAGGAATAACCTAATTACGATGGTGTTCCAGTCTACTCTGGGAATTGCAGTGGGGAAATGCAGTTTCCCGCACGTAGTTGTACATAGAGTGAGTTTTGTTGAAATACATCTAGTTTTTAACTTAAAAAAACTTTGTAAATATGGAATGGTTAATGATGGTTGCAGACATTCTTGAGTAGTATAGTGTCATTAAAAGCACAGGTTCTGGATATAAATGTCCTGAGTTCAAACTCCAACTTCTTCACTTTCTAGCTATATAATTTTGGGCCAGTTATTTAGCTTCTCTCTGCCTCAAGTTTTAGTCATTCGTAAAATGGGGATAATAATATTACCTACCTTATAGGGATGTTGTAAAAAGTAAATCAGAAAATTTACATTAAGCGCTTTGAACAGTACCTGGCATTGGAGATTGGACTCAACGTAAACCCCTTTTTTTGGTGTTGTTTTTAATGTTTATTTATTTTTGAGAGAGTATAAGCAGAGGAGGGGCAAAGAGATAAAGGGACTGAGGATCCGAAGTGGGCTCTGCACTGACAGCAGTGAGCCTGAAGCAGGGCTCGAACTCACAAACTGGGAGATCCTGACTTGAGTGGAAGTCAGATGCTCAGCTGACTGAGCCAACCACGTGCCCCATAAGCCACCTTTTTACATGCCTAGTCAAGACAGTAGTTTGACAGGGGCGCCTGGGTGGCTTAGTCGGTTAAGCGTCCGACTTTCGCTTGGGTCATGAACTCGCGTTTCGTGGGTTCAAGCCCCCCGTCGGGCTCTGTGCTGACTGCCAGCTCAGAGCCTGGAGCCTGTTTCAGTCTGTGACTCCCTCTCTCTCTGACCCTCCCCTGCTCACGCTGTCTCTCTCACTCTCTCCTAGAAATAAATAAAACATTAAAAAAAAATTAAAAAAAAAAAAAAAAGACAGTAGTTTGACAGATTTGCATCTAATAAATATATCATGTAATAAAAATGTATATATAAACCAAGTACTCAGGTAACTTCTTTTTCATTGTATAGGTGTGTTTTATAGGCAGAAGCAATGTTGGAAAATCCTCTCTAATAAAAGCCCTTTTTTCATTGGCACCAGAGGTTGAAGTCAGAGTATCCCAAAAACCGGTATGTTGAAGGAAAGAGGTGAGGAGGTGGAATTTAAAAGAAACAGTATATTGAAATGTAAAATTTGTCAAACTATCTCTGAAATTGACTAAAATAATAAATGTTGAGAGGTACAAGAAACTATACTTGCTAAGTTCCTGGAACAGTTCTTTCTTTCTTTCTTTTTTTTTAATGTGTATTTATTTATCTATTTTGAGAGAGAGCACAAGCCGGGGTGGGGCAAAGAGAGAGGGAGAGAGAGAATCCCAAACAGGCTCTGCACTGACAGCACAGAGCCCAGTGCAGGGCTCAAATTCACGAACAAGGAGATCGTGACCTGAGCTGAAATCAAGAGTCAGGCACTTAACCAACTGAGCCACTAGCGTGCCCCTAGAAAGGTGATTTCTTTCAAACAAGTAGTAAAGTAAGACATTTCATTAATGTCTGTATATTTCCCTGAAGAAAAAGGAACTTTGTCTGGATTTATTTTAGTAGTCTTGCAAGTTTCTTGAGGAAATCTTTTTGTCCAGATCTTTCCCAAAGAGTTGCCAAATAAAGTGTTCTATTGCCATTCTATATTCACTTCTTTAAGAGTGATCACCTAGTTCTTACATTGATTTTAGAGGAAACTGTTTTGAATTCTTTCTTTCCTCCTATAATCTTTTCTACCTTGCAAACTCCTTTTTCCCTTTCTTCCCCTACTCCCTCTCATTATATATAGATATAAATATATACATATAAATATATGTATACAATTAGGCAGACCCCGGTTTCCCAAGGGCTGAATTTTGTCTGCTGTAGTAGCTTTCTGTCAGTTTTTAATTTTCTCTACTTCTTTCTCAGTGATGCAGACTCTACCAGTATCTAAGATAACCTCACCTTAAAACTCCCCCTCATCTTGTTACATATTTCCACCAGCCTGGTGCTCACTGCCTTCCTTTCCTTGCATTGGAACCCTTCCACGAAGCCTTACTAGTCTTCTCTTGCTTGCCATTTCTTCATATAGTTGATTCTCTGGCTCCATCGCTGATGCTGATGATCATTGTCATTCATTAAATCTCCTATGCTTAGGCCTACTCTGTCGCACCATATAACCCAGCTAAACTCTCATTTCTGGGTAGCATGGTTCCCTTCCTTCTGTAAGAGGACAATGGAAGAAATATATTCTTGACATTCCCGATCTGTCATTTTCCTGTGGATAGACACATCAGCTAATGGGAACCTAAGCACTGTTTTTTTGTTTTTTTGGGTTTTTTTGCTTTTTAGTCTTTTTTTTTTTTTTTTTACTTTAATGGGAATACTTCTTTTATTTTTTATTTTTTACAAATAGTTTATTGTCAAGTTGGTTTCCGTATAACACCCAGTGCTCATCCCCACAAGTGCCCTCCTCCATGCCCATCTCCCCCCTCCCCCCACATCCATCAGTCCTCGGTTTGTTTCTCAGCATTCAAGAGTCTCTCATGGTTTGCCTCTCTCCCTTTCCCCCACCATTTCCCCCCTTCTTCTCCCCCATGGTCCTCAATTAAGTTCCTCCTAATCCTCCTATACGTGCAAACATATGATCTTTGTCCTTCTCCGCCTGACTTATTTCGCTAAGCATAACACCCTCAAGGTCCATCCATGTTGCTACACATGGCCAGATTTCATTGTTTCTCATTGCCATGTAGTATTCCATGGTAGAGATCAACCACATCTTCTTGATCCATTCGTCCGTTGATGGACACTTAGGCTCTTTCCATGTTTTAGCTATTGTGGAGAGTGCTGCTATGAACATTGGGGTACATGTGCTCCTATGCATCAGCATTTCTGTATCCCTTGGGTAAATTCCTAGCAGTGCTATTGCTGGGTCATAGGGGAGTTCTATTGTTAGTTTCCTGAGGAACCTCCACACTGTTTTCCAGAGGGGCTGTACCAGTTTACATTCCCACCAACAGTGTAGGAGGGTGCCCGTTTCTCCACATCCTCGCCAGCATCTAGAGTTCTCTGATTTGCTCATTTTAGCCACTCTGACTGGCGTGAGGTGGTATCTCAGTGTGGTTTTGATTTGTATTTCCCTGATGAGGAGGGATGCTGAGCATCGTTTCATGTGTCTGTTGGCCATCTGGATGTCCTCTTTGGAGAAGTGTCTGTTCATGTCTTCTGCCCATTTCTTCACTGGGTTGTTTGTTTTTCGGGCGTGTAGTTTGGTGAGTTCCTTATAGATTCTGGATATTAACCCTTTATCTGATATGTCATTTGCAACTATCTTTTCCCATTCCGTTGGTTGCCTATTAATTTTCTGGGTTGTTTCCTTGGCTGTGCAGAAGCTTTTAATCTTGATGAGGTCCCAACAGTTTATTTTTGCTCTTGATTCCCTTGCTTTTGGGGATGTGTCAAGTAAGAAGTTGCTGCGGTGGAGGTCAAGGAGGTTGTTTCCTGCTTTCTCCTCTAGGGTGTTGATAGTTTCCTGTCTCACGTTCAGGTCCTTTATCCATTTTGAGTTGATTTTTGTGCATGGTGTGAGAAAATGATCTAGTTTCATTCTTCTGCATGTTGCTGTCCAGTTCTCCCAACACCATCTGTTAAAAAGGCTGTCTTTTTTCCATTGGATATTCTTTCCTGCTTTGTCAAAGATCAGTTGGCTGTATACTTTTGGGTCCACTTCTGAGTTCTCAATTCTGTTCCATTGGTCTATGTGTCTGTTTTTGTGCCAATACCATACTGTCTTGAGGATGACAGCTTTGTAGTAGAGGCTGAAGTCTGGGATGGTGATACCTCCCGTTTTGGTTTTATTTTTCAGTATTACTTTGGCTATTCGGGGTCTTTTGTGGTTCCATACAAATTTTTGGATAGTTTGTTCTAGTTTTGAGAAGTATGCTGGTGCAATTTTGATTGGAATTGCATTGAATGTGTAGAGTGCTTTAGGTAGTAATGACATCTTAACTATATTTATTCTTCCTATCCATGAGCATGGAATGTTTTTCCATTTCTTTGTGTCTTCTTCAATTTCCTTCATAAGTTTTCTATAGTTTTCATCATACAGATCTCTTGTATCCTTGGTTAGGTTTATTCCTAGGTATTTTATGGTTTTTTGTGCAATTGTGAATAGGATCAGTTTCTTGATTTCTCTTTCTGTTGCTTCATTGTTGGTGTATAAAAATGCAACCAATTTCTGAACGTTGATTTTGTACCCTGCAACTTGGCTGAATTCTTGGATCAGTTCTAGTAGGCTTCTGGTGGAGCCAGACAATTGACCTTTTAAATTGTATATCTTAATCTTTTGTTTTCTGATTAATAGTGTCATTGGACACAAAACCATGACTTTTTATCATCTTTACATCTTTTTAGTTTAACACATATTTTATAGTGTTGTACATGCTTTTAAAAAATGGTTTAATGAAAGCACAAAAACCATCTAATGAAACATGCAAAACATCTGATTCTAGGGAAGGAGTAGTCTTGGTGTAATAAACTATCAGGCATTGCATCTAGATTTTATGTGAACCTGTATGACTTGGCAGTAAATATTTTTAATTTAACCAGCCAGTGTCATAATTTATTTCTCTTTTTTTAAATGTTAATTTATTTTTGAGAGAGAGAGAGTGGGGGAGAGGCAGAGAGAGAGGGAGACAAGAGAATCCCAAGCAGGCGCTGCTGCTGACAGCAGAGAGCCCGATGTGGGGCTTGAACTTATGAACCATGAGATCATGACCTGAGCCCAAGTCAGACACTTAACTGATGGAGCCATCCAGCCACCCAGTTTCTTTCTCTCTAAATGGAGATCTATTATTTTATCAGAGAATATTGACTACTACAATCACACCACTACAAGGTAACTTTTTATTGAGACAGAATTAATGAAAAGACTCCAGCATAATTTGGCTACATATTCCTAATCCAGAGTTTTTAAATCACATAGATTATCTTAAAAATGAATTGCAAGGAAGAAGTAGTATCATATAAGCTTATCTCCAGCCGCTTCCCTTCTATCTTCTTTCTCTGTGTCATCATCAACACAGCAAGGATTATATTCAGAATACTTAGGTTTTTAATAAAGTGAATAAAAATATTTTGAGTCATTAAATATATAAAGGACATGTGTACTTGTATATATTTGTATATTTTAGTAAACATACAGTGCAGTATTGGTTTCAGGAGTAGAATTCAGGGATTCTTCACTTATAACACCCACTGCTCACCACAAGTGCCCTCCTTTTAATACTGCTTGCATTGCCCATCTCCCACCCACCTCCCTCCATCAGCCATCAGTTCTCTATTGTTAAGAGCCTCTTGTGGTTAAGGACATATTTTAAGAAAGTTTTATTTTTCCATTTATTTTATCAGGGACACACAAAGAAAATGAATTTTTTCAAAGTTGGACAGTATTTTACATTGGTGGATATGCCAGGTTATGGCTATAGAGCTCCTGAGGATTTTGTTGACATGGTAGAGACCTATCTAAAAGAACGAAGGAAGTAAGGAAAAATGTTTTCTTGTAAGTTTAATCCAAAAGCACATTTTCATTAATGGAAAATTCTGCACCTTATGACTCTACGTTATCAAGTGACTTCTTTTAGACAGTCCATTTTATTCTCATTCTTCAGTACAGTATTTAGGGCCAAGGTATATTCTGCTTGCTTAATTTTTTCCCGTACATTAGCTTAATCTTAAATTCAAGTGTTTTCCTAAATTGAGACTATATTTTATTTTAACTAGTATTTCAGCAGAGTTTATTAATTTTCTTATATCAAACTCTTAGCTGGCTAATTTTGAAAATAAAAATTATTGGCTACTGTGGTATTTACCACATTTAAATAAACTTCAGTACAGTTATGAAGTACTTCTGACACCACATCCTCTGTAAATGTAACTATTTTGGTCTGCATAGGTAGTCCAACGGCAGTTCTATGTTTCAAGCATTGCACAACATATAGAGAAATTAATGTTAAACTTTTAAATTAAAAAAAGTGTAAGTATCTTGCTTGGTATAGCTTTACATAGAACTAAGATGAAATATTTACACACAAAAAATATAAAACATGTTATGCCTGGTGTCTGTTATTTGTAAGTCTTAAAATAATATTTGAAAACTTAAACATTTTTGTGATAAATTACAGTTAATTGGGTTCATCTCTCTCCCATAGAGTTCAAGCTCATTCATCTTTATGTCTAGCCCTAGGCAGAGGACCTTAGGTTCAATACACGGTATTGATTTAAATTAATATTTAGTAAATGTAGTTATTGAAATAACAGCATTGAGATTTATTGGATTGCAGGATGGACTTCCTAGTGAACTGAGAATTCCTTTTGCCTAAAGAAATTTTTAAATTTTGGGGTGAAAATTATTCAAAAGAAAATTTCTTAGGATAGTAAAGGTATATAGCGTGAGTATATTTTATATTTTCATTAATTTTTATTTCTGCACTCTTACAGTTTGACGAGAACATTTTTGTTAGTGGATAGTGTTGTTGGAATTCAAAAAACCGACAGTATTGCCATAGAAATGTGTGAAGAATTTGCATTACCTTATGTGGTAAGTGTTTCTTTTGAATCATGGTTGCGGTTAGAAACACCAGTATGTGTGTGCATGTGCACATGCGTGTGTGTGTGTGTGTTGAAAGAGCAGGTCTTGTCTCTGTACGAGTACCTTTTGAATAATCTTTTAGATTATCAGCCCTTAAGACAGGTTCTGTGGTACTTTTATTCTCTTTTCTTTCTCTCAGCTTTAAGTTTTCAAAATTGTAATCAGAGTATTTTCAAGTTGTTCATTTAGTGTTGCTAAGTGCTTTTCCCTTTCATTTTTTTTGTGGCAATATAAATATTTGTCTAAAACATGTTAGGAGCTCTTTAACAGTAGTTTGGTGAATAGTACTTATCAAAAATATAAATGAAATTGCAACTGAAAAATTTACTAAAGTGATTTATAATTGAAGAACCATTGCAAGAAAATGGGCTCCAGCACATACAAGTAGGATTTTTACATTCTTAAAGAAAACAAAATTTTTTCCGGGACTATCTTACCAATGATTTTTCTGTTGTTTGTCCTAGAATAGAATACAGATTAGTAGGTTGCTATCCACATTATTTTGCTTTGTGAGTTTTTCAGATAAAATAGCACTCTAAAGTTCCTTTCTAAGGAAAAGTAAAAAGCCCATTGACTATAATTTTGTTTCAAAAAAAGTTAGGAAACCACTAAAATGTAATAGTGGAGTTTAATTCAAATCAAACCATGTTACTAGTCAGCAACATTTATGTATTCTTGGGTAATGGAATTGGGGTTTGCAAAAGTCCTGTGAAACATTTGTGGTAACCAGTTAGTTATAAAAGGCCAAAGGTCTGATATAGTCCACAGAGTAGAAAATACCCAAATAATGCCAAACTGGTTTTATTAAGTGATAGAGTATTCCTGATTTGGTATCATAGGTACCAGTTAATGAAACTGTATATTTTTCTCAGTTCAACTTCAAGGAAATACTAGTTTCTTCCTTGGAAAAGAACTTGTGATAGAGGAATTGTCTCCTTTTAAATATCACAATATTTTTAAAAATAAGTAAATAAATAGCATATTTGCTTTTATAAGGAAAGATTGCCATTTGGAGGGACTCACAAGTAGTTAGAAACCACACACTTTCTGCTTCTCACTTCTTTTACCATTAACATTTTTTGTTAATGCTAATAAAGTTAATTTTTCAGTTGAAAAGCATAAATGATGAGTCAGGAAATTTAATTTTATAGAAATTCCCCAGGAAAATATGATAGATCAAAGTCTTACTTTTTAATTGATTTTCTAATCATTTCTATAATTGTAGCAGGTAAAAGATAGAAATAGCCTGATTTCTGGTTTTTTCTTAACGTTATTACATGTAAGGCAGAACCATTTTGTAGGTCAAAAATGGTAAGTTGGCAATTTTATGTAGATCAACCTAATAATACTTACCGTGTATCTTAGGTGACATGAGATATATAGTGATTATATGCAAGACTTATCATACATCAATTGCAAATATGGCTCAAAGGTCCTTGTCACTGGTCTTAAATCCAAGATATTATAGCCCTATGTAATTAAAACACTATTAAATAGCAAATACATAGTATATGCTTTATCCATTTCATACATTTTTTTTTTAATGTTCATTTATTTATTTTGAGAGAGAATCCCAAGCAGGCTCCATGCTGTCAGCACAGAGCCTGATGCAAGACTCAGTCTCAACAAACTGAGATCATGACCTGAGCTGAAATCAAGAGTTGGACACTTAACCAACTGAGCCACCTAGGTGCCCCAGTATATTGCATACATTCTTATTTAAGCTTCATGGTTACTCCTTTCAGGGATGTTGCTTTTATTTTGTAATGAAGAAACAAGAGAGATTAAGAAACTGATAAGGATCAAGTAGTTATTAAAAGTTTGTAGCTAAAATGTGCAAACTGTGTTTTAAAAAACACTTTATTTCTAATGCTTAAATATTTGTTTTCTTACAGATGGTATTAACAAAAATTGACAAATCTTCCAAGGGACATCTTTTAAAACAAGTGCTTCAGATCCAGAAATTTGTTGACAGAGAGACTCAAGGATGTTTTCCTCAGTTGTTTCCTGTAAGGTAAGAGTTGGATTGTTTTTTATTACTTTATAGACTAACAGCCTTTAGTATTAAACAGTGTTTCTTAGATTGAGATATCACTTAAAATAAGAGGAATTTTGAAAGCGATGCATCTAGCCATGAAATGAAATTTTGAAAGCTATGCATTTATTGGTAGTACCCATCAGCACTTTTTTTTTCTCTCTATTTTGTCTTCTTCTGCAGGCTTATGCTAGATTTTCCCTGTAGATATCTTCATTTTCTTTCTGCCTTAGCCTAGCTCAACCCTAGAACACAGCAGAAGTGGAAACTTTTTACTTCTTAAAATCAGTTAAATAACAACCATAATATACTACCATGCTTTTTTCAATTTCAAAGAAAAACAAATTATCTTTATGGTACAAAGCTCATTGAAGCTTGAGGGATAAAAATTTTTCTTTAAATGGATAAAAAATTTTCTTTAAAATATGTAAAGAAGAAATGCTTCATATAAGTTAGAATTAAGCATTGGTAGCAGACAGAATGGTTATTTCTTTAGCTGGCAATGTTGAGCTACTTGATATCGTTTAGTAGTGAAACATGAGCCTATACTTTGAGCATGTACCTTGGATATAGTAAGTGACTTGTACTAGAGCAGAGCTATCATTCCCATATGATGTTCTTACTCTTAACTTCTTTGTGGAAGGCACTATGGTATATGCTGTGAGAAATAATAAAACCAAGTAACACTTGGTTTTATATGGAACTGCCCCCCCTAATCAGTTATTCAAAGTCCTGCCAGTCCAGATCACATTTTTTTTTAATTTTATTTTTTTAATGTCTTATTTATTTCTAGGAGAGAGAGAGAGACAGCGTGAGCAGGGGAGGGTCAGAGAGAGAGGGAGTCACAGACTGAAACAGGCTCCAGGCTCTGAGCTGGCAGTCAGCACAGAGCCCGACGCGTGGCTCGAACCCACGAACCGCGAGATCATGATCTAAGCGAAAGTCGGACGCTTAACCGACTAAGCCACCCGGGCACCCCACCAGATCACATTTAAATTGTTTATAATTGTGAACATACCTGTCAAAATCCTTCATTCACTCATTTCTACAAAATGGTCTTCTCCCTTGATTTTCATTCAAGTATTTATCCTGTTTATTTGTCTGTATCCCATCTATATAATGGAGACTCCTAGGGGCTCCCATTAATGAAATCCTACTTCTCAGAGCCCTGAGCATTGTCATAGCAGAACAGCTGTTTACTTTAACTGTTTAATAAGAAGGAAGTAAGACCTCAGCTAAAAAAGCAGCACAAACATAAGATGGGCAGATTATGACTTAATAGCAGCCTTTACTGGGAAAAAATTAAGTCTTAGCTGACTGAGCTTAATTTAAATCAAGAGTATAATAGGGCTGGGGAAAAACTGACAGTATTTTCTTGACCTATATTAATAGAATTATTGTGTCCCGAACAAGGGAGTGATCAAGCAGTAGTCCCAGACTGCTGCGAGCTATATGTCATCAGGTTAGATTGTGACTTGGCATTAAGAACAACTAGAGCTATCAGAAAACAGGTGGTCTTGGGGAAGGTTACATTTCTACATCATTCATAATACTTGACTGATCCTCACAGTAAACATCTCTATTTCTAGTGAAGGGTACAAGTCAGGAAGTGAAGTGAGTTGCAGAGAGGTATCTGTTTAAACAGAGCAAGGGCTTTGGGGTCAGACAGCTTTTATTTTGCATGATTCTTCTCATTTCTTGACTATAAATTTTAAAGGAACTTATTTCATTTTCTGAGTCTGTTTCCTCACTAGTAAAAATATGATTGTTAGGGGGCTTAAATACAATGTATTGTGACAAATGTACATACAGCCACATAATAAATGTTAGTTTCCTTTCCTTTTTTTTTTTTAATTTATTTCTAGGAGAGAGAGAGGGACAGCGTGAGCAGGGGAGGGTCAGAGAGAGAGGGAGAAACAGACTCTGAAATAGGCTCCAGGCTCTGAGCTGTCAACACAGAGCCCGACGCGCGGCTTGAACCCACGAACCGCGAGATCATGACCTAAGCGAAAGTCGGACGCTTAACCGACTAAGCCACCCAGGCGCCCCTGTTAGTTTCCTTTCTTGCCAAAAGTCAATCAGTAAGTGGAGGGTTAGGCCAACAACCCAGTTTATCACATTCCCAGTACTTTTAAGAAACATTCCCTTCTTTGGATATGTCAGCATTTTCTGCTGCATGATTGTAATCTCTGCTGCCACTGTACTCACCATAAGTGACCAGGGCGCTGCAGTAGCCACACAACACTGAGAGGCTACAACTTGAGATGTGGGAGCTTGGTGACTTTCAAGAACTTCACCATTCACTATACTATAGTGACCACATAAAGGAATTTGACAGACTGTATTCTGTACCTCTCAAAACCCAATTCAGAAAGTAGAGTTATATATGTTTGTTGGTTTTATGTGCATGACCAAGTCCTAGTCCATCCTTCAAGAAAGAAGTTTGGCCTGTTCAGAAAATAATTATTCTAGGAAAGCTGGGTTTTATTTCCTTCTTTTCTTACAACATCCTTGTAAGAGAAAAGTGGAGTGTAGTCCAGCAGGGTTTGGCCTTTAATGTTGTAGGAAGAAGCTAAGTGCTAAACTTTGTGACAGAACTTTGCCCAGCTGAGTAGAACTGTATAAATGGTGAAAGGCCTTTAAAGATTAATGCTAGGATCAGTCTGTTTTTATAGCTGGCATGGGAGAAATATGTAAATAGGTACATCGTGCAGTTGCTTTCTATGTAGTGGAATTCCAAGCATAGAGAATGTACTCGTAAGGACAGAATCACAATCCTTTATAGAAATGTTGCAGATGAGTTCAAGATGCCATAATTGTGTGGACCACCCAACTTGTATCTCTCCTTTAAACCAGATAGCTTCACTTATGACGCAGGAATCATGGACTGTTTGCAAGCAGGCAGCTTTGGTCAAAAAGTCTGAAATGCTATACTTTATCAAGAACAGAATTAGTGCAGCAGAAAATATTTTACCTGTTTTGTATAGAGGTATACACCAATCCTGTACCCATAAAAGTCATAGTGTATCCATAAAAGTCCATGTATCTTGAGAAACCATGTGCTCACTTCTATGCTGACATATGGATGGATGCATATGGATGGATATAGTAAGACAGGTAGATAATAATAGATATAGTAATGGTGATGGTGATTTTAAAAAATAATTTAAAAAGGTCTAAATTGGGGCGCCTGGGTGGCTTAGTCGGTTAAGTGTCCGACTTTCGCTTAGGTCATGATCTCGCGGTTCGTGGGTTCGAGCCCCGCGTCGGGCTCTGTGCTGACTGCCAGCTCAGAGCCTAGAGCCTGCTTCAGATTCTGTGTCTCCCTCTCTCTCTGACCCTCCCCTGCTCACGCTGTCTCTCTCTCTCTCTCCTAGAAATAAATAAAACATTTAAAAAAAAAAAAAAAGGTCTAAATTATCAAAGTTATTGAATCTTTGTCACAAAAAGAACAAACTACAGAGATCAAAGCTTTTAAGCTGGGAAATAAAAACCAAAGTAGATGTTCCATGGCATTTTTCAGAGAAATAGAACAGTCTTAAAATATGTATGAAACCACAGAAGACCCCAAATAGCCAATCAGTCTAAGAAAGAAGAACAAAGCTGAAAGTATCATAGTCCCTGATTTCAAACTATGTTATAAGTCTATAGTAATCAAAACAGTATGGTACTGGCATAAAGAAAGGTACATAGATCAATGGAATGGAATAGAGAGCCCAGAAATAAACCTACCCACACATGGCCACTGTGACAAAGGAGCCGAGAATATACATTGATAAAAAGGCAGTGTCTTCAATAAATGGTGTTGGCAAAACAAGACAGATATATGCAAAATAATGAGCACAGTAACGAATACAATTCAGCCATAAAAAAGAATGAAATCTTAGATCATATACAAAAATTAACTCAACGTGGATCAAAGACTTGAATGTAGGGTCTGAAACCAGAAAACTCCTAGAAGAAAACATAGGCCCTTAACATCAGACTTGGCAATGAGTTTTTGGATGTGACACCAAAGGCAAAGGCAACAAAAACAAAAATAAACGAGTGGGATTACATCAGACTGCACAGTGAAGGAAACCATCCTCAAAGTGAAAAACCATCCTACTGAATGAAAGACAGAATTTGCAAATCATATATCTCATAAGGGGTTAACATTTAAAATACATAACTCCTACAACTCAATAGCAAACACAAAATAATCTGATAAAAATGGGCAGAGGATCTTAATAGACATTTTTTCCAAAAAAGACACACAAATGGCCAACAGGAAAAGGTGAAAACATGAAAAGATTCTTAGCATCAGTAATCATCAGGGAAATGCACATCAAAACCACAACAAGATAACCACCTCATACCTGTTGGAATGGCTATTATCAAAAAGCCTCCCCCTACCAAAGGCAAGAAGTAACAGCCTTTGGTGAGAATGTGGAGAAAAGGGAACCCTTTGCACTGTTGATGGAATTAGTACAGCCACTGTGGAAAACAGTATGAGGTTCCTCAAAAAATTAAAAATAGAGCTGCCATATGATCCAACAATATCACTTACAGGTATTTATCTGAAGGATAAAGAAACACTAATTTGAAAAGATATCTGCACCCCTATGTTCACTACAATAGTTAAGAAATGGAAACAACCTAACTGTCCATCTATAGATGAATGGACAAAGAATGGGATCTCTCTTTCTCCCTCTCCCTCCTTCCCTCCCTCCCTCTCCCCCCCTCCCCCTCTCCTTCTCTCTCTCTCTCTCTCTCTCTGTCTCTCTCTTTCTCTCACACACACACACACACATAGAACAGATACAATTCAGCCATAAAAAAGAACGAAATCTTGCCATTTGTGACAACATGGGTGGATATTTTGGACATTATGCTAAGTGAAATAAGAAAGACGAGTGCCTTAAGATCTCACTAATATGTGGAATTCGAGAAATAACAAAACAAGGTCATAGATACAGAAATTAGTGGTTGTCAGAGGTGATGGATTAGGGATGGGAGATATGGGTGAAGGAGATCTAAAGGTCCAAATTTCCAGTTATAAAATAAGTCGTTAAGATATAATATACAGCATGATGTCCATAGTTATTAATACTATATTGCATATTTGAAAGTTGCTAAGAGAGCAGATCTTAAAAGTCTTCCTCACAAGAAAAATTATAATGATGCATGGTGACAGATGTTAACTAGACTTACTGCTATTATTTCACAATATATACAATTACCTAATTATTATGTTATACACCTGAAGCTCATGTTATGTGTCACTTCTACCTTGATTAAAAAAAAAAAAAAACTTTCTGAAGTAAAAGGCAAAGTAGTAGATATGGTGAAATCTTTAGAATCCTGCAGGAAATCGGTCTGATAATGTGGGTTATCAAAATACAAGAAGCTATTGGAAGAGAGGAAATGTAGGACAAATTAAGGCATTCTGTTTCATACATGGAACTCAAGAGTTTTTAAACAATTTTTAAGTTGGATGAATTCAGATCTGTTACTACATCTAAAGTAAGGAAGAAAATGATTTTTCTTTTCTTTTCACAGTTCTGTCACCTATTCTGGAATCCATCTATTGAGATGCTTTATAGCAAATATAACAGGAAATCTTAAGGCTGATGGTCTCTAGTTTAACTGAAGATTCAAAATTCTTTATGCCGACTGGAGTTGAACACCTAGAATTTCAACATTTTAAAAAATCTTTTATTTTTGAGAGAGAGAGTGTGACCAGGAATGAGCAGAGAGAGAGAAGGAGACACCGAATCTGAAGCAGGTTGCAGGCTCTGAGCTGTCAGCACAGAGCCCAATGTGGGGCTCGAACTCTTGAACCGCAAGATCATCACCTGAGCTGAAGTTGGATGCTTAAATGACTGAGGCACTCAGGCGCCCTTCAGCATTGTTTTAAATGTTGTGCATCTGTAATTTGCAGATGGACCATTTCAGCTTTAAAACTTGCATCTTCCCAAAGCAAGAATGAATTTGTGCCTGGGGGAAAATGTATATAAATAATTGAATTATGCTATTCATTAGAACAAATACTGTTCTATTTTAACAGTGTTCTTGTTTGAACAGACTGACAAACAAGAGCATACAGAAGTCCACAATATGAAAACCTATTTACTACTGTGTAGAGAATGGTTTGCTGAGTTTTTATGGGGGTTTTGTCTTTTAAAAACAATGTCTGTTATGTATATTTAAGTAACAAAATGGACTAGGTTAAAAGAGGAGCTACTTTTCTGTTAAGCACTGTGGCTACTCTCAATGCCTATAATCTTTTTTCTAAGACTTTGTTTGAATATAAAAATATATATATATTCTTGATAAAATCTCACTCCATGCTGGAAACACCAGTCATTTCAGGCTGGGACCATTCACCTTCAGGTGAATGCAGTATTCAGAATCAGAAGGCCAGAATTCATATTTCAGTTCTAATATTTATTACATTGGGCCTTGAGCAAATTACTTGATTTCTCTGTACTTCATGTATAATTCACAAAGCTATAAAGATTAAAATGGTATTATATGTGTAAAGGATATTTTTAAGTTTTCTGTATTTGTAAAGTGAAACCAACCCAAGAATACAGCAAAATTCAGATTTATCACAGAACACCTATTGTCATTGAGGAGATAACATTTTCTCTAATAAAAGACAAAAAACAAAACCAGTTTTAAGTGAGAAAACTGATATTTACAAAAGCAAGAGAAAAAATGAGACAGTTTAGAATTAGTACAATAAGATTCAGAATGGAAAGATAAAGCCTTACCTGGAGCTACAGTGAACAGAAAAGATTTTTATGAAGATGCTATGGACCTATTCATGTAAGTGGTTTAGCTTTTCAAAACACATGTTTTTAATGTTTTTATTTATTTCTGAGAGAGAGAGACAGTGTGAGCAGGGGAGGGTCAGAGAGAGGGAGACACAGAATCTGAAGCAGGCTCCAGGCCCCGAGCTAACTGTCAGCACAGAGCCCAAAGCTGGGCTTGAACCCACGAACCATGATATTATGACCTGAGCTGAAGTCGGATGCTTAACTGACGGAACCACCCTGGCTCCCTTGGTTTAGCTTTTCAAAGTGAGGTTGAATATTTAATAATTATAGCAGTAGCACTAGATAAAAACTTAAGGCTGTAAAACAACTTTGTGGCTTTTTTAGGAAATTCAGTGCTTTCAGTTTTGTAGTTGATGGCACTGGTTTATTCTAAAAGCAGTGTTTTAAGCTAAAAACAAAAATTTTATGTAGGCATTCACAAAGTGAAATATATGGTGACAATAGACTCATCTCAGAAGTCGTCATTTTGCCTGCCAGTGTTACTTTACTGCTTGTCTTAGCCTTGGTTCTCCTAAAAACAGAGCCCAAGACAAAAGTTTGCATCAGCCATTTATTTGGGAAGTGATCTCAGGGAACAGGAGCAATAAAGGAGATAGAAGAAAGGAAAATCAATGAAGGATGCAGGAGTTGGACATCACGTAAGTACTAGTGCTTGATCTTGACGGACCTTCTTTGGAGCTTTATGAAATGTGCCTCTGAGTTGTCTGTGAAGTAGGGAGAAGGTGGCTTCATGCCTCTTCCAACTTGTGCATGCCCAAGTGCCAAGCAGTTCCTTCAGCCTGGCAGAAGGAGCAGAGAGGAGGCGAAGTGTGGTCATCCACTCCTGCTGTAAACTGTTGCCGCAGCAGTGGCTGAAGGAAGACCGAGAGGATTTGGCGTGGGAGAGCTCACCACTGTGCTGTCGGGAACGACCTGCTCCGATGCTACCAGAGCAATAAAATCGATACTCACTCTGATGACACTAACAGTAGTTTCTAACCTAATTTACTAGTAAGTTTTAGTTTGTATATTTTAGATTTAGATTTCACTATATTATTATTATATATATTAGATTTCATTTTCTTTTTTTTTTTTTGTAATATTTTTTATTTATTTCTAGGAGAGAGAGACAGCGTGAGCAGGGGAGGGTCAGAGAGAGAGGGAGATACAGACTCTGAAATTGGCTCCAGGCTCTGAGCTGGCAGTCAGCACAGAGCCCGACGCGGGGCTCGAACCCACGAACCGCGAGACCATGCCCTAAGCGAAAGTCGGACGCTCAACCAACTAAGCCACCCAGGCGCCCCATTAGATTTCATTTTCATTAGAATTCTAAGTTGTTTGGAAAGATTAACTGATCTAGAATACTGCATTCCTTATATATATAAATTATCACGTTACGGACACATGTGAAGCTTTTTTACTATTTCCCCCAGAATTCTAAGGAGGAAGAGGGAAAAAGGAGGAGAAGAAGAATCTGAGTCCAAAGGAACATTGGTCTAAGTACATAAAGTACAAAAAAGTGTCAGACCTGTAGTCCAATTCAGGCTTTATAGTTTTACTTCCTTAGATAACTCACTGAATACTGGTTTTTCCAATGAGGGATAATCTCCAAAGTCTCTTTCAACTGTAAAAGTTTATGATTCTTGAACAGTAATGGCACTTGAGATGAAGCAATCCAACCGCAGGGAAACTGACTCAGTGGAGTCATCTACAGGTAAGAGCAGAAGCAAGACTGGACCTTAAATCTTAGAATCATAGAAGCTGATGGCTATTTTTAGACTTGTCCTGAATGAATTATTATCCATGTTTTAAGGTACTAAGTAGTTACTACCACTTTGTAGGAAGCCAGGAAAAATATAAACAATGAAAAGTGACTAGAAATTTTAAGAACTTCGAATTAAATCAGGATGTTCAGCAAGGCTTCAGGAAAGAAGGAAGCTAAAGCAGTATTTAACTCTGCTTCGCCTGCTGCATGCATCAAAATCACTTGAGCTCCTCGTTTAAGATACAGGCTTCTGTCCCTATCCCCTGGCTGTGTTTATCATTCTTTTCAAAAGGGAATCTGCATGTGTGTGTGTGTGTGTCCTATTGCTTTGAGCTTTTTTTAAAAAAATATAATTTATTGTCAAGTTGGTTTCCATATAGTACCCAGTGTTCATCCCAACAAGTGCCCTCCTCCATGCCCATCACCCATTTTCCCCTCTCCCCCACCCCCATCAACCCTCAGTTTGTTCTCAGCATTTAAGAGTCTCTCATGGTTTGCCTCCCTCCCTCTCCTTAACTATTTTTATTCCCCTTCTCCTCTCCTATGGTCCTCTGTTAAGTTTCACCTGTTCCACATATGGGTGTAAACATATGGTATCTTTCTCTGCCTGACGTATTTCATTCCACATATACCCTTGAATTCCATCCACGTTGCTACAAATGGCCAGATTTCATTCTTTCTCATTGCCATGTAATATTCCACTGTAGAGATGAACCACATCTTCTTGATCCATTCATCAGTTGATGGACACTTAGGCTCTTTCCATGTTTTGGCTATTGTGGAGAGTGCTGCTATGAACATTGGGGTACATGTGCCCCTATGCATCAGCACTCCTGTATCCCTTGGGTAAATTGCTAGCAGTGCTATTGCTGGGTCATAGGGGAGTTCTATTGTTAGTTTCCTGAGGAACCTCCACACTGTTTTCCAGAGGGGCTGCACCAGTTTACATTCCCACCAACAGTGTAAGAGGGTACCCATTTCTTTACATCCTCGCCAGCATCTAGAGTCTCCTGATTTGTTCATTTTAACCATTCTGACTGGTGTGAGGTGGCACCTCAGTGTGGTTTTGATTTGTATTTCCGTGATGAGGAGTGACATTGAACATCGTTTCATGTGTCTGTTGGCCATCTGGATGTCCTCTTTGGAGAAGTGTCTGTTCATGTCTTCTGCCCATTTCTTAACTGGATTGTTTTTCAGGTGTGGACCTTGGTGAGTTCCTTATGGATTTTGAATACTAGCCCTTTATCTGATATGTCATTTACAACTATCTTTTCCCATTCCGTCGGTTGCCTATTAGGTTTGTTGATTGTTTCCTTTGCTGTGCAGAAGCTTTTAATCTTGATGAGGTCCCAATAGTTCATTTTTGCTTTTAGGAAATGTACATTTTTAAACAACTCGCCAAGTGATTCTCAAAACAGCCTCAAGTAGGAGAACCATTAGTATAGATAAGTGGGAAACTGTGCAAAAGAACCAGGGCTAGATAAGGAGTGGAAAGGAAATAAAATGAAGGTGGCCAAGGAAAAGAAGGGTGCTGGTTTATTTTTCTAGAAGTCTGTATAGAACATAAGACTTAAAGGCTACAACCTACTTATCAAATAGAAACTTACTGACCTAATTTTAGTAAATTAGAACATTCGAAAAATACATGAAACCTTACATCATTGAAAACATGTTAAGATTTATCCTTTCTGAGCAATGGCACAAACAGTATGCAACTATCAGATGGCAGCATCAGCACCATATTATAAATTTATGTGTAGCCTCACTCCTAGGTCTATTTTGTGTAAACTAACCTTTCCTTTTCTTTTTAGTATTTATATTTTGAGAAATAGAGAGTAAACAGAGGATGGGCAGAGAGGGAGACAAATTCCCTAGCAGGCTCTGCACAGTCAGCACAGAGCCCCATGCTGGGGTTGAACCCACAAACCGTGAGATCATGACCTGAGCCAAAATCAAGAGTCGGGCGCTTAGCCGACTGAGCCACCCAGGCGCCCCATAAACTTTTTCATTTAACTAACTCACCTACTTCTGTTATCCTGTTGTACTTCATGTATAATAATACACCACCATACATCCCTTTTGGAAAAAAATTTATTTGGACTTGGTCACTAGCTCCCAAATAAATCAAAACAAAACAAAACAAAACACACACACACACAAAAACAAACCCAGAAAGTTTTGGAGATCTTCAAAAGCATTTTAAATTACCCTTCTGTGAGGTAAGGTGAAAACATGAAGTGAAATAATGGGTGTGGCCAGTCCCTGATAATACAGTTAGTGGCACAATTGTTTAGTCCATTTTGATGATTAATTCTAATATATAATCAAGACTGCACAACCATTAGAAGCTGCAAACCTTGGTGTTCAGAGGACTTACCTACAACGGAAACAGTAAGACCAAAGTGACCTTCGAAGTACTCCTTGATACTTTCCATCACAGCCCATTCCCCAAATACCTTAAGGCACAGAGTAAGTTTTTATCAACCTAATTACTCAGTTCTTATTCCCTGGTAAATGATAAAATTATTCAGTTTTTCAGGGACCCACTAGCTTTTTTTTCTTTTCAAGATTTTTAAAAAATGTTTATTTTTCAGAAAGAGACAGAACGAGAGTGAGGTAGAAGCAGAGAGAGAGAGGGAGACACAGAATCTGAAGCAGGCTCCAGGCTCTGAGCTGTAAGTCAGCACAGAGTCTGACATGGGGCTCAAACTCATGAACCTGTGAGATTATGACCTGAACTGAAGTTGGGACACTTAAACCGACTAAACCACTCAGATGCCCCAGGGTCCCACCACCTTTAATTAAGGAATTACATCTGCTTCTCAAGGACTGGATATGGTAGATTTTTTTCATCTTAACCCCTGGTACAAAGTCAAGGTCAAAATTTGACTATTTAGTAGTCAAGTGCTTATCAAATGACACAGAGCTACTGTAAATGTTTATTGAACTGAAATTACTGCTGTATAATGTTATACTAAACCAGTTCCTCTCTGACTCCAAGTGGTATTTCTAAATCTTTCCAACCTCAGCAAGTTCCATGTAAAATAGAACAGTGGACCAGTTTGTTAAGCAATTAAATGTCTCACATATGAGCATTTAAACTCCCATTAAGGCAAAAATATCATCAATGTCGTCTGTCTCCTTAATGGTTCCTGATGTATTATGTTTGTTCATTTGCACCATTGTCCAGGAATTAGTTTCATTTTCATGGTTTCCTGTAAGGTTTTCATGAAGTTGTTTCTCTTTAGTTTGTATGACAGGATTTGAAACTCTGCTCCTCAAGAGTTGCTCATTGTTGGGGTAGAGATCAGTTCTATGAACTGTGCAATGTGAGCACTTCCATTTTCTGCTCTCTGTAGCATTCTGAGTCCCTTGAGGGGACTGCTGAATTTCCTTTGAAAGAGTCAGCTGCAACTTTCTTTGCCGTCTCCTCTGTCCCAGTAAAAATCTATTCTGAGATCTTCTTTGTCTCAAATGATGCTTTGAAGTCTTGATTCCTGCACCACGAAGAAGGCAGTTGCAAATAGATGTTTTTATGCACTTGAGTTTCTTTGGCAAACTTTAAAGGACAAGAGAAAGGAAAAATCTGGGATTAAAACACAGAAAAACATTTTCAAAAATTTTTGTCTTCCTTTTACCAACTCCCAATAGGAAAGTACACAATTTATCTCCAAGTAGTGTGCCTGTGTATTTACCCCAGAATCATCACAAAAAATAAGGCAATAGAAGCTTGAGCCCAAATCTGTGTTTTCAGAGCAAAGGTTCCCTCTGACTCAGGTTGTAGACAAATATGTCCCCATTATGTTCCCAAAGTAAAGTAGCTTCTAGAACTGCCTAGCAAGGTAGCTGAATGGTGAGACACCAACATACTTTAGTGTCAGAGCTTTTCCCTGGTAACTACCTAACTGTTCATAATGTAACAGGGGTGGAGCTGAGGAAAGGATATATCACAAATAGAAAAATATGGATTTTTGGATGTATTAATCCATATCTGGATAAACAACTTCATGTTGTAGAAGGAAATAAGGGAAAAGGAGGAAATGTGAAGAGGGAGTGTAAAAAATGAAAAGATGGAGCTTCTGGCATAGACCACCTGACCCTTGATTGTGATTCATGTATCATCTTCAAGCTTGGGAGTTCAGAACTCCCAAATAGCTGATCATTTTAGGTGTTTTTCTTCCGAATAAGGTATACTGCCATGAGGTATATCAGTACCTTGCTAACTGTTTCACTGTGATAGATTTCAGAAAGTTAGCATGGGTCTATAATTTCTACCCCATCACCCTTCCCTTTTCCTTTTTTTTTTTTTTTAAAGTTTATTTATTTATTTTGAGAGAGAGAAAGCATGAGTAGGGGAGGGGCAGAGAGACGAGAGCAAGAATCCCAAGCAGGCTCCACACTGGCAGCATGGAGCCCAACATGGGGTTCGAACCCACAGACTGTGAGATCGTAACCTGAGCTGAAGTTGGATGCTTAACTGACTGAGCCACCCAGGCGCCCCCCTCTTTTCTTTTTTAAATAAATACATAACTTTGAGAAAGCCTATTATAATGTAGTGAATTATGATCAGTTTCCAAACCCTCTTTCTTGTCTTAACTGTAAGTGGTAATTTTTAGGTGGGGAGAGGGTAAGTGCACCTCCTAATTAAAATGGGAGTAGACAAAATGAAAACAGAAGAATCAGAGGATATGAATGGAGTTCTAGATCTCCAGCTGTAACAACCTAAGCAAAATCCCCTATTTCCTCATCTACAAAATGAGAGTAATACTGCCTATCTCAGAGAGTTACTATGGACATTAAGTTTAAAATGGACTATACATATATTGTTGAAATAGCAACATAGGGCAGTTCAAAATAGCACTATCTTTGTGGGGTAAGGAATAGTGGTTGAACCAAATAAACGCTAGTTGGTTACCCTTTTCATTAACTTTATTTATTATCATCTCTGTCTCGGGGTGTTTTCCACCCTAGAATAGATCCTTTTTAAATGGCTACAGGTCTTTAAGGGATCCTAATGTAGAAACCTTTCCAACGTTTCATCCCTTAGGAACACTCAATAACTCCTCTCATAGCTCTTAATCAAAACTTGTTTGGTTGCTCTTTGCAACCATTTGTCTGAAATTGTTACCATGGGCATCTATCATTTTTCAATAAAATTATAAAACCCTAAAGTGTCTAACCTCATTGTAGTGCTTCAAGGAATACTGGCTCACAGTCAAAGATAATGGTCCTTAAGCACTTCTGTGACTCTAAGGACCACAAGAAGAGGAAATCACTATGTGGAGAATCTGGCACCCATGAACGACATGACCTGACCCTAACCCCAAACTCTGGTGTGTGCCCTTGCAAGAGGCAGACCGCTTGTGCTCTCACACCCTCCTCCTACTGCATGGAAGCTGTGGGCAGACTGGCTGGCTCTCCTACTAGAGCCAGGGCTGGAGCCAGAGCTCCATAAGAAGGAAAGTCTGTCTTACACAGGTGTATCCCCAGGCTCAGCAGACCACAGACCTAAGGCCTTTGGAATAAACAGCTGGAATAGGGAAGAGTATAAGTGAATAAATCCAATTAACCAAGTTAATGTTCTTCCTCTCAATGATATAGCTGTGCCCAAGAAAAGCCAACAAAACTGCATTTGGAATAGATCCCTCCTAGGGCTCTGGACATCCCATTTAAAAAAAAAAAAAAAAAAGCTGACTTAAATATATATACTTCTGCCTAAATGACAACAGAAGAAGTGAAGGATATAATTATTATTATATACCTACCCATAGCCTTGAGCTTCCACATGTTTAAGCCGGTTACTTTTAAGAAGTTTGTTACCCAGAAAGGAGGCCTGAGCCTTGAGCTTTTTGCTCCTGCACCACAAAATCGCCATTTGGAGTTCTTCAGAAAGTTGAATGAAAGTCTTAGCCTCTCGAAATCTTTGCACAAAACTTTTGGCACAGGGAGTTCCTGATGCTCTCTGAGAAGAATGTTTGGTTGCCTTTAGTTTGGACTGAGAACATTTAATGCTGGTCTCCTGAAATATGGAAAAGTGAAAAAAATATATTGGATTTATTACTGAGTTATAAAGAGAAAAGTTAACTATGGGAATTAGAAAATGTTTTTCAAAAGAAAAACATTTTTTTTAAGTTCACTGTGCCTTTCTTTTTCTTAAAAAAGTTAATTTTTTATCCACTGCTCCTAACACAAGATTTTTTTTTCCTCTCTGCACAACAATAGATCTCACCTATAACTGAATGCAGATGGGAAACACAGATGGGAAATTGTTGGGAGCCATTCTGAACTCACTAGTTGAGAAAACTCCTTGTGAGGTTAAGGCAAGTTTGCAAGGCGATATCCACCCCCACTCAATTGTTTCTGCTTAAGCACTGACCCCCAAAGCACCCTGTTGATTGTTGATTGGTATTCGAAGTGACCTTGAAAATGCTGATTGCACCTTGTGAAGGAACCTATTGTAGGAACTTCTTTTGTGATTCTGGAAGCAAACATTGTGCTTCCTCCCAAACCTGTTTTCCCTTATACTTCCCCTTAAGCAAAGAGGCTGCTGACTCAGGCTCAGAAAGAACTTTTGCCTTTGCTATGCTGAAAACATTGTCTTGCTTGTATTTGAATGCTAAAGATACCTTCCTCCCCCATATGATAAGCATCTAAATCACCTACCTCAATCACTATTGATAAACGTTATGCAGAGTCTTCTACAAATCTATGTTCTGGGAAATTTCTACGTATCAAAGAAAATTGTCTTCAAAAATCATTGTCTAAGGCAAATGTCACTTCTGTGCTATTCCCCATACACTTAACCATAAATAAAGCTAAGTCTCAGTCAGTGCAGAGATGCCTGCCTGGTGACCAGAAAGAATCTCGTGGCTCCCTCATCCCTCTCTCACCGACACCGTCCATCCTTCAGCGACCCCTGGGCCAGCTGGAGCTGGACCCCGGCAGGAAATATAAATATTCTGACAACCTATTTAACCTATACATAAAAATGAAACTCTACACGAATAAATATTGGTCAAAGTCTATCTGGCAGGGGAAAAAAATTCACTGAAGAGCCCTTTTCCTAGATACTTACTATTGGATTACCACAGATTTGTTTTTTACACTTATTTCTATACCCTGAGTTACTTTTCAACACTGTGTCACAAATGTTACTGAAAATGCATGGAGATAGGGATGGCTGCTGAAAATGTGTTAAAAATGCTTAAACTGCCATCGTTTCCAGTTCAACCATCTTTTGATGTGACAACTTTGTCTCTTCAATCCTGTCTTTCTACATCAAGTGAAGGTTGAATTGTACCAACTTTTATTGTTTATGAAAGTATACCATTTACTAGACTTGCTTTCATCCTTCATTCAAAGCTTACCTTCCAAATTTCTCATTCAAGAAAAACATAAAAAAAAAATAGGAAATAGAAAAGTAGAGACGTATCAATATTTTGTGTTGGTGATCGATAAAAGAAATCTGACCTTGAAAGCAAGGTGAGCATGTTAGTGCTAATTGCTAAAAATGTGGTAGTGATTAGTCATGAGTAAGGGAAGCTGACCAACCAGCCAGCTTCACAACCAGCTCCCCTAGGAACTGCTGGAAGGTCTGCAGAGAGCCACAGCTCCTGAGACAGAGCTGACAAAACTCTCTGGGGGACTGATGTAATGGGAAAGGACAAAGACTATGAAACCAAACTGCCTTTGTTCAAATCCCAGCTCTGACTCATATTTGCTGTGTGGCCTGAGCAATTTCTCGTCCTATCCATACCTCAATTTTCTCATCTGAAATATGAAACAGTAATAATATTACCTGCCCCACGGGGCTTTTGCAAGGTTTATATAAGTTCATACATGTAAAGCATTTCGAACACTGCCTGGCAAAGAGTAAATGCAGTATATGTATTAGCTATTATTACGACAAAGATGATGATGACGATGATTCCTCCCTCTGGAACTCAAACTGGACAGAATAGAAGTCCAAGCTAGAATCCTTATAAACATTCAAGAAAGTACTCTGAAAAGTACTCTGACGTACTAGAAATGATTAAGAATTCTTAACTAGAACAGAAGAAATAATCCATGCAAGAAACCAGGAGAAAACAATTTGAGAAGAAGGGATGGTAACAGAAGTCAAGGAGTTACCACAAGAAAGAGGGTGACACTGACGTGCTTATCGGTTGCTAGGTGCAGAACAGAATTTACAGGCAACGACTAAGAGGAATCATTCAAACTTGAACGCTGACAGGGAAGAAAGAGAAGCCTCATGACAAAAGACAAGGATGACAGTAACAATGATAAAAGTAGCTAATGATATCTAGCAACAGGTATGTGTTTTGAACCCTTTACATGAATTAAAATTTCTTAATCCCATGAGATGCACACTTATTAGAAAACAGAGGTATGGACAGGTCAAGAAACTTCTTCAAGGTCACACAGCTAGTACCAAGTGAAGCCAGAACTCAAACAATTTCTGTCTGACTACAAAGTGCATACTCTTTTTTTTTAAAAATTTTTTTTTATTTCATTTATTTCTGAGAGAGAGAGAGAGAGAGACAGAGAGAGAGAGAGTGTGTGTGTGTGTGTGTGTGTGTGAACAGGGGAGGGTCAGAGAGAGAGGGAGACACAGAATCTGAAACAGGCTCCAGGCTCTGAGCTAGCTGTCAGCACAGAGCTCGAGGTGGGGCTCAAACCCACAAACCATGAGATCATGACCTGAGCCGAAGTCAGACGCTTACCCAACTGAGCCACCCAGGCGCCCCTAAAGTATATACTCTTAATATAATCCACACCTACAGTGGATCCGAAGGACACTTTAAAATTCTAGTGAAACCTTTAGTAAATGTTTCTGAAGGCATTCTATAAACTGAACTTACTAGATGCACTCAGTCACTTGGGAGTGCCTGTATTCATTTAGAAACAGAGACTGAGAACAAAGGTGGCACTAAGCTGAGAGCTGGGGATAAAAACAGAGGATTCAATCTCTGCTCTTGGTTAAGTGGTATCTACTTTATAAAGTAGCAGAAATCATAAGCCACAGTAATAGAAGCCAGACAAACCTGAAGAGCCTTGTGCTTCAGCTGCTTGCAGAAAGCTCTCAAATCAAATTCTGATGACTTTTCTGTAGAGATGAAGAGACCCACAGAGACAAAAACTTAAGCAAACAACTTTAAAATCAATGAATTCTCAAGTATATGATCTTTCTTGCTGAATTACTACAAAAGAAAAAAAGGGAATTAGAAGAATGTGTGCTATATCAGAGAAAATTACCTTTGAAGATTTTCTTATTTTTTACTGGCTGTCCAAGATCCATATCACTCTGTATATTGATCTTCATTTGCTTAGCTTTTTTGCAGATTCTATGTACAGTTTCTTTGCTAGACCTTGGTGATTGCTCTTTTGTTAAAAACAGTTTATTTAACAATTTAGTTACTCCTTTAGCTGGAAAAGCTGTGGGAGTTTTTTTCTTAAAGACTTCAAAATAGGGCTGTCCTAAAAATTTGGCAATATCAGAGGGAAAGGTAAAATCTTTGAAGTAGGGCAGTGGTTGAATCTTAGAGACTTCCTGAAGCAATCCAAACAATGGCTCATATAAAGAAGTCAGCCTTCTTAAAACACCTTTATAGAGAACCCTAGAGAAAGACACAGGAGGTCAGGAATTAGCCAGTAATTATAATTAGCAGATTATTTAATAACCACAACAGTTTTAAGGCTGAAAATAAGTGTCTATCAATCCGCCACTATAGATTAAAAAACAACAAGAAAAAAACAACCCTCTGGCGCATAGTTGCAAAGAGCCAGATTAGTCCAGCCCAAACAGAAAAATCCAAGTACAAAATTTACTTAAAACTTGAGGCGCCTGGGTGGTTCAGTCGTTAAGCATCTGACTTTGGCTCAGGTCGTGATCTCACCGTTTGTGGGTTTGAGCCCCCCACTGGGCTCTCTCCTGTCAGCTCAGAGCCAGCTTTGAGTCCTGTGTCTGTCTGTCTCTATCTCTCCCTCCCTTCTCGCTTTCTCTCTTTCTGTCTCTCTCAAAAATAGATGAAAACATTTAATAAAATAATAAAATATTTAAAGAAAAAAACTGAAGTCCTACGTGGAAAGAGGTCTCAAAGGATATGCATCAAAACCTTACGTGTGGTGAGATTTTAGGCAAATTTCAGGTTCTTCACATCTTTATTTTTTTTTGTAATGTCTTAAATAAGCATGTATTATTATTATGATCAACAAAAATTAAAGCTATTTTCATCACAGAAAAGAATAATGGAAGGTTTGACATTTTAAAATAATATGTTAGTTATCAGTAATTCTAATGTTGTTACCCCTAAGAATCAGCAGAATAAATAAAATGATTAGAAATAGTACTTGAGATACCAAGGTTAAAACCTCAAAGACATAACCATCAACACTCAAGTTCCCAATCCATTCCAAATAAACTCTGATCAGGTGAAGAAAGGGAACCCCTACACCATCAGTATTCCACGGGAAAACAAATATGAAAACGACTAATGAGAAACCTGGGTGGAGTTAGATGAAAAATGAAGGATTTCAGAGATATGTACATACATACCATAACCTGCTCACCAGCCCAACCATCACAAGGTTTAAAATAATGAATTCTCGTAAACCTAGATGTTTCACAGTCAAGCTGGAGAATCAAGTTAAAGTTGGAAAACAAAACGAAAGTAATTTGAGTTTTCTAAGTTACATTCATGAAAGAAACAGATTGGAAATAGAATCTTCTTGAAGAAATTAAAGCCTTAAAACATATCTGGGGGCACCTGAGTGGCTCAGTCAGTGAAGCTTCTGACTTTGGCTCAGGTCAGGATCTCGCAGTTTGTGGGTTCAAGTCCTGTGTTGGGCTCTGTGCTAACAGCTCGGAGCCTGCAGCATGCTTCAGATTCTGTGTCTCCCTCCCTCTCAGCCCGTCTCCCCACTCACACTCTGTCTTTCTACTCACTTCTAAAATTAAGAATTTCTAATTGTCAGTGCCCTTAGAATAAGACACGTGACATAGAGACTGGCAGTCTCTGGCAACGGCTGGATCAGGCAATTCCTAGAAAAAGGAGGCCAGGAAGCAAAATTTTAAGGTTATAACTTCTACAAACCTCCTAGCTTTCAAATACAAATACTATTAAATATATCCAAGCAATTCCAATTCAGGGGAAAGCATTTCACTTGACTCAAGGATACAGAAATGTCTTGCAGCAACAGTCCAAGAAGCGAAGTAACAACTTGCAGGCTCCCAAAATCTTCATGAGCACCAATTCAACCACTGGTTGGCTAGGGATGACATATGCTGTGGTAGTTACAGGATGATTCAGACTTCACAAAAAAAGAAAAAGTATGTTATTTTTATTCTTAAAGTTCATTAATTATAAAGCTCTGACAGTGGAATTTTCAAGTGCAGGTGAGCTTGAAACTCAATTTGAGGTAGTTCTGCTCAATGACTTGCTGAAGTTGATGGACACTGATATTTCAATAATCTATCATGACCCAAAAGTCAGTATCTTGCCATCCCTCCACAAGCCAACAGAGGAGAGATGACAAATACAGAGGAGATCACAAATACCAGGCTCCCCTTACTAAAACAAGATTTGAACAGCTGAGGTACAGTTGGTTATATCCCAACACCAAGCGATGTCCAAAGGGAGATCACACTAAAGAGAGTTCCCAGCCCACCACGAAGCCCATCACAAAGCAGCGAGACCACTTACTTGGAAGAAAACGACTCAGAAAGATGTTGAATTGAACCCTCCAAATCCATGTTTTTCAAACGTTTTAAACACTGTTCAACCTGAAAGGGGAAGAACAGCTCAAATTTACAGAATATGGACATGGCCACTACTGTGACCAGGAAAGCCAAGAGATGCAAAAGTTCAAAGTATGAAAGTACACTGAACACCACAGAATACCTTCATTTTAGGGTAAACTAATCTGTAGCCCAAAGCAATTGCTCCTGCTAAAAAATTTGAAATTAACCCAGCTGAACACATTTCTCAAACACTTTTTAACTAAGAATTTACTATATGCCAGGATGTGACTGATGCTATAAAGGGCACTCAATTAAGTATGAGATTATTCTCAAGATTATAATTTTTCTGAAGCAACATGATTTCTAATAGTGAAACTATTAAAACAAGATAGTAGATGAATTAAGTAATAGATTTCAACAGCTTATAAATGGCCCCAGAGGTGAGTAAATGGATTTATTCACTTTACAAGTATATACGGGACACTTTATGGAAGTCATGCTGGGAAATAAAATAGTATATGACACTTCCCAATCTCTAGTTGCTAAAAACCTTGTAGTAAAAATAAGAAGACATATAAAATATTTAAATAATGAAATAAAAGATGTGCCTTATTTAAAATTGCAGTCCCCTCTGCACTCCAACCTTTCCTGCTTTATTTTTCTCCTGACACTTTCGATGGACTGATTCATTGAGTGATGCCCTTTCTCCTCTCAACTACAGTGTGAACTTCATGAGGGCAATATCTTTCATCTATCTTATCCACCACTGTAACTCAGTACTTAGCACAGTGTTAAGTAGGCACTCAGTAGCATTTTTATTTAAAACAACTTAAAGCAAAACAAAAAGCTATCTATTTTACAAAATGTGGTAAGAATTCTATAGTCTCCAGGAAATACCACACAAAGGGCATGCATGGAATGGCATCCAGACTCTGAAGGGTGTAAAAATCTGGATTGGCACTGATACTGGCAAAGATAGTATCTTTCTAAAGCTGTATATGCTAAAAATTTAAGTATCAATTCTATTTTAACAGCATAGTCTTCAGAACAGTGGAGGTAACAATTCTCAAATTTTCTGGGGTTACCTCCTATCTTTTCAGTTTTTAATTCTGGATCCTATGCTTTGAGAGAAGAGCTGACAAATTAAGATGGGAAAGCACTTGGAAAATACAGTAAATGAACTATGGTTCAAAAATAAGGGAAAATAATTCTGAGAATTTAAGCAAGGCAGAACAAGGAGGAACATAAGAACAGTCCATATATTCAAAGTATTGTCATACAGAAAGAGGAATCAAGACTATTTTCTGTGCTTCGTTAATAAGAATATTAGAGATAGGCTAATTCTACTGCTTAGCTTTCTTTGAAAGGAGAAAAAATAATGTAGATGACAGCACTGTGTAAATAGTGAAATGTTAAGCAGATGTAAGTCAGCAGTAGTAATGGAGATGGTAGTCGCAGGAGCATGAAACATGTTCCCTACTCTAAGGGACGGCAGGAAAAATAAAACATATGCAAATAACTGCCACATGCAGACTGTGCTCAGTACCATAAAAGAACCACAAAGGGGAAGCCCAAATAGCCCACAGTCATAAAAAGAGGAGTTCAACCACACTAATAATAAAAAAAAATGCAACTTAAAATGAGATTACCACAATATGCCCTCATGTTACCCCTTGGGAAGAAGTTTCACTGCTGGACAGTGAAAGGGGACTTACAGAATAGGAAGGCTTTTAACAGACAGAGATGAGAGACTGGGTATGCTAAATATATAGCACCAGATAAGCAAATGTTCAGGTGAGAGAACAAATGTGGTGAGCAGGGGGACTTGTGAAGAGTTCAGGTGTCTGGAATATAAAATATATGAAAGTGAGAGAGAAGCCTGAGCTAAGGAAAACTAAAAAGGCCTGATCATGGAGGATCTTGTAAGCCAAGCTAAAAGATTTCATCTTTACTCGGGAGCCAACAGAGAACTATTAAAAAAAATCAAAGCTGTGCTTTAGGATGATTAACCTGGCTTTGGCATACAGAATATGTCAGAGTATAGGAAAGACTGGAGTTGAGAAAAGATCAATTAGGATAGCAAGACAACTAAAAGTTGACATGGTCTGAAAAAAGAAGATGCAGCCAGAATTAAAATAAGGGTGTCGATGCAGAGAAAAGTTTTGACTAATCAATTGAATGGGAGAGCTACATAAGAGGAAGAAGCAGAGAAAACAGAACACCAGATTTTTCTGACTGGATATTATTCACAGCTTGGAAAAGCAGAAGGAAAAGTAGGTTCAATCTGATACGTTTAACTTGAAATACATTCAAGTTTGGTTTTGGAGTAAAAGACTCATGAGATAAAAAGCTGCCCCAGAGAAGAAAACTGAGGGAAAGACCATGCTCCCAGATCTTTCTTTGATGAAGAAATCTCTATTCTTTTTGCCTTAAGTAATGGGAGTGGAAAATTAACCACAAAGCATGAATCTGTAAGGTTAGAGTACACGTCTGTCTTTTTCACCCCATATCTGGCACATTAAGTCACAAAAAGTGGCACCTGGGTGGCTCAGTCAGGTAAGTCTCTGACTTGATTTCAGCTCAGGTAATGATACCTGACATGGTGAGATGGAGCCCCATGTCAGGCTCCGCACTGAGCATGGAGCCTGTTTAAGACCGCTCTCTGTCTCTCTCTCTCTTTCTCTCTCTCTGATCCTCCCTATCCTAATAAAAAAATAAATTAAAAAAAATTTTTTTTGAAAAAGGTTACAAAAAATACCTGCAGGATTGCAGGATTAATAAAGTGAATGAATGATAGAGCTTATAAAGAACCCAGCTTAGGAGACTCTGCTCTATACTGTAGAGGGCCCAATCTAAAATTTACAGACCACTTACAGCCATTTAATCTAATATATTACTGATTAGAATATATGCCCCACAATATATAAACCACGACTTTGTTCTTTTTAGGATTTTGATTATGCTCAGGAAGTTGTTCCTTAATCCAGCACTTTGTCTTGCTTAAATCACTGTATCTGTGAACAAGACAAAAGCACTCTTCTTATAGATTATATATAACGAAGAAAACTTTTCATAAAACGAGAAACGAGACTGGGGAAAAATTAAACATAGTTCCTTTCTAAAAATAAGTTGCTTTTTGAAATGCTTTCAGGGGGGAAAAAATGAAAGCCCACATGCAGCTTTGGACTGAAGATCTATTAAGTCACAAGCAATTTACTAAGTTTCCATAAATAACAAAATATAGTGGCAGTGTGACCTCATTTTCACCAAGTAAACATGTTGAGTGTTGAGTCGTAAACACAGGGCTTCCTCCTCACCTGTTTGAGGGCTAAATGGGGCTTGTGGCGGCCCATTCTGTAGTGATTGCTGTAAAGGACTGCGCAGAGCACATCTGTTTCTGCATCCAAGGTTTGGCTCTTCAGCGACTGTGTAACAAGACCGCATTCTCTAATTACAGCTGCAACGCAAAGGTCTAAACCAGAGACATTTAATAAAACTTAATACATATTTCTGCATTAAGTATATTATATAAAAACACTGTGGAGGAACATCTTTCCTTCTTAAGGGGATTAAGAACAAATTAATATAAACAGCTTTAACTATAGGAACATAACTTGATGATTCTAAGTATGTGAGAAGATGGAAATGGTGACATATGATATAAAGTCCAGAAATCAGTAAGAGAACATCTGTTATATCTTTGCAACACATTTTATTGATTTTTTAAATAATATTTCATGTGAGTACTTTGCAGTCATTTGTTGTACACTTACACCTACTTACCTTGATGGTAGGGTTCCTGTTACACACTTCACTGAATCTCCAGTTATGAACATAAGCAAGGCAGAATGAATGCACTCAAACTCTTAAAAGCAAAGGTACTTTAAGAATATATTCAGGGGGCGCTTGGGTGGCTCACTCAGTTGAACATCTGACTTCGGCTCAGGTCATGATCTCGCGGTTCGTGGGTTCGAGCCCCGCGCGTTCGGCTCTGTGCTGACAGCTAGCTCAGAGCCTGGAGCCTGTTTCAGATTCTGTGTCTCCTTCTCTCTCTGACCCTCCCCTGCTCATGCTGTCTTTCTCTCAGAAATAAATTTTTTAAAAACTTTTTAAAAATTAAAAACAAAAAGAATATATTCAGAAGAGAAACTACCATGGCAACTGGAAGTTACATTATTTGATGCATGCCTGACTGAACACAGGATGCTCAACGGAACAGAATGACAGCCTCCTAGTTGCAAAAGCTGTGAAGTAGAAGATGGGAGTTCATGTGTTTCTCTGTGGCTCTAAGGGTAGCACCAGCATCCTAGATGGAAATAACACAAAGGCAAATTCCTACACAACAGGTTAAACTTAATTTTGTTTTGTCTCAACTATATGAAGCCAGAATGGGCTACCTTGAGGATGGGGAGTGAGCTGCTGGGTTTGCATACCTGATAGGAATCCTGTTAAGGAATTTTTGAATAGGGGCGCCTGGGTGGCTCAGTGGGTTAAGCAACTGAATTCAGCTCAGGTCATGATCTCAGGGTTAGTCATTGGGCTCTGTGCTGACAGCTCAGAGCCTGGAGCCTGCTTCAGATCTGTGTCTCTCTCTGCCTCCACCCCACTCGTGCTGTCTCTTTCTCTCAAAAATAAGTAAACATTAAAAAAATTAAGGAAGTTTTGAATAGGAGAGGGAAGATTAATCTATAAACTGCCTGGGTTGATGGATGGGGAAGAGGATGTCAAGATTAGATAGGTTGTACTTAATATTAACTATCATTTGAATGTTTATTTACTGCATTAGGCACTGTTCCAAATGCTTGGTAACAGTAACTCTTCCTCAAAACAGCGCTATGAGACAGGTACTATTTTTTAGCCTCATTTGAAAATGAGCAGAGGCACAGAAAGTTTATATAAGGACACTTCCCAACCAGCCCAGCTCCAGCAAAGCGAAGTGCCTGGATTCAAACCCAATTTGGCTCCTAACTGTTGCGCCCTACTGCCTAAAAAGAGAAGTACTATTGGTAAAGCATCTTCGTTTAAGAGCACCCTCCCTCAATTACATCACTAGACACTCCCAACAGCCGGTGGAAGGTAGGGAGGACTAACCCCATTTTACACATAAGGAACCAGAGGCCCAGAAGGACTGCATTCTAAATCCAGAGTGCCCCCAACGCCCTCTTAGAAGATCAGGAAACAGACTGAAGGGTGAACAGGGCTGCTGGTGGCCTAAGGAAGCACAGTACTCCCTAACGCTGGCTGGGTCCACCTCTCTCCGCCCCTGGGCGGAGGGCTGGGCCCCGGACCTTCATAGCTCCAGCCAGGTCGTGAGGTAGGTACAGCGGGTTAAATGAGTGACTCCAAAGTCAGAAGCCCCACAGATTTCCCTGGGTAACTCCGAAGCCCACGCGCCCGCAGCCAGATCCGGCCCCGCGCCTCTTCCCAGTGTCCCGCGGGCTCCGGAAGTCCCGCCCCCTGCGCACGTGCGCTGGGCCCGGCCAGACATCGCCTCCGGAAACGTCTGCAGCTGCCGGGGACCCCTCACTCACCCAGCGCCGCATGGGGGTCCTGTACTGTCACTACGCTGTGGCTCCCCGCCTTCGGGATCCTCACGCGGTTCCACGGCTCCGGGCCCGGCAGCACCGCAGCCATCTTGGGACGCGGGGTAGGGACTGGGAAAGGCGGAGCTGGGCGAGGCCTAACGGAGTGACCGAGGGAGGGGAGGTGAGAGGAAATCTGGGGGAGGAAGAGAGCTAGGGGTGGTGCTGGGGCGGGGCTCTGAGGTGGGGGCGGAGCCTTCACGAATCGTTCATCAAATAAGGTGGACTGGGAGAGTGGTCCAGTCCCTGATCACCAAAACGCGGCCCGGTTTCAGGAGAGCTTGGGGGTGCGCGGAAGCTCTATCCCAGTGCTACTCAATCAGAATCACCAAATGAGGGGAGGAATCTGCATTGTATTTAGACTTCCCCACGGGATTCTGCGGCACAACCAAGTTTAGAGTTACTTCTAGGCATTCTACAGATGTAACTGAGGCCACTCATAGACCCCCATCTGCACAGGAGACATTAGGGGGGAAGGAAGACGTGAAATAAAAGAAATGCGAAGTACGGCGTTTGAAACACAAAAGACAGGATTTACTTTGTCAGGCAGGTTCTTCTGTCTTCACCAACAGCAAAACTGCATCACATCAAAGAAACTTGGAGGCCCTCTAACTATCAACCCCATCCTCTATAATTGTTTCAGATAAGGTGGTATCCCAAGTTCTCCTGATCCTCACCTCATTAGTAACTCTCTAATAGATTATCATCAGCCACAATGATGCCACCTTACTTGAATAAGCCCTTCACTATAGTGTATTACAGAGGCAATTCGTGGGTTTTGGAGACAGACCGCCAAGGTTCTAATTCTAGTTCTTGCCATTTATTTGCTCTGTGATCTCAAAAGAGTTACTTAACTTCTCCAAACCTTGTGCCCTTATGGGGAAAATGGGAAAAATGAAAATAATGGTCTCTGCCTCAGTGCTTTAAGGAGCTTTAGACCAGTGTCAGGCATTCAGGTATTTACTCTTAGCAGAATTAATATTATTATTTCTACTGTTTAATGCACGTAACCCTGCCCTACTGAAACACTTGCCATGCCCTTCCTGCATGCCTTTGCAAATACTAACTCCTCCACTTGGGCCATGTCCGTGAAACAGTCTCCCCTCCTCAGCGTTGGTGTCATCACCTCTGGGTAGTTCTTCCTGAACATCCTATCCCCACTCCATAACTTGACATAGAGAGACCCCTTTGTATACTACATAGTGCCTTGAATTGGCCTCTGTATTGGCTTTCTTTTGCTACTGTATTAAATCACTACAAACTTAGTTGCTTAAAAGACACTATATTTCTGAAGGTCGGAAGGGCAAAAGGATCCCACTGGACTAAAGTTGTCAGGGCCGGATCTTTCTGGAGGTTTTAGGTGAAAAATTCATTTGCTTTTTCCAGTTTCTAAAGGCCACTTGCATTCCTCAGCTCATATTTGTATCCTCCATGTTCCAAGTCAGTAACAGTATCTTTCAGTCTCCCTCTACTCTCTCATCCTCCTGACTTCTTAGAAAGACCCTGGTGATTACATTGGGCCCTCCAAAATAACCCCATATAATCTCCCCATCTCAGAATCTCTAACTGAATCACATCTATAAAATTTGTTTTGCAATGTAAGGTAACATAGTCACAGATCCTGGGGATTAAGACGTGGACATCTTTGGGGAGCCATTTATTCATCTATCACAGACTGTCATAGAATTTGCTTCACAGTGTTGTATTAGTGTATTTGTATGTCTTCTCCAGTAGCCTATGAGCTTACTGAAGGCAGTACTACCAATACGGTTCACTGATCTTTCTTTATATCTTAATTCTTAGCTCAGTGCATGGCGTATATATAGTAGGATCTCAATAAATTTTAATATTTGTATTGAGGTATAATTGCTATCCAAAGAACCACACATATTTAATGTATATAATTTCACGCTTTTTTAATATTTAATGCAATTTCACAGTTTTTTAATATTTACTGGTTGAATAAGAGACCAGAAAATGCTTGAATAGAGTTTTGAAAACATTCTTAGGAATTTCTCAGGCAGATAAGGGAAGAAGGACTTCCCTGACAGAAAGGTGGTAAACAACATGAGTTGGAAGAATCAGTGGTCCTGGGTCAGTATTGCTGCAGCTTGATGTGTGCTGAGGGATGAATCTTGGAATGGCGATGTCAGATCCTGGGCAGAACTTGAATTTTACTCTGAAGGCTGGTGGTTCCCCATACTGGATGGTCATAAATTACCTGGATAGCCCTTACAAAAGGGAAGTTATGTGGCCCCACTTTGGAAATTCTTATTAGGTCTGTGTAGGACTCTAATTTTTGTTTTTTAAAAGTTTCTTGTGATGGTAGTTGAAATTGGGGAGCTCTTGCTGTAAATGATAAAGGAGTCTTGGAGTCTTAGGCAGGACAGTTTTGGTTACTTTGAATCAGAGAGCACCCTAAAAACAGATTGAAGGGAGACGAGGCTGGACATGGGGAGGTAAAGGTATCTACTCCTAACACTGAGGCAAGACATGATGATGGCCTGAATTCAAACTTTGGCACTGAAGATGGATAGTAGAACTTATTTAAATGTCTGGTATTTGGATATTTACATGTGTAGCATGACTTCCAGGTTTTTGCTTTGAGTTTGCAAATAGCATTCAAAAGTAGAACAGAGTTAGGTGGGTGGTAGGGATTATGAGATAACTTTTGATATACTGAGTTTGAGATCACCCACGGCCACAGAATATGGCCAGTTCGCCTATTGAATAAATGGGACTGTAGCCCAAAGGGTGATTGCAAAGGGAGGAAGTAGAAATGGTGAATCTAGGATAATATTTTTAGAAGCTTAGAGAAGGGGAGACAGTTTAATTTATAATAGAGATGCAGCATTCAGCAGAGTATTGTTTTGTTTCTCATTTTAAGGTAGTGTATCAGTCAGGGTTCCACGATTCACACAGAATCAATAGGATGTATAAATATCACACACATATATGTATTACATATATATAAAGGGATTTATTATAAGCAATTGGGTTGTACAATTGTGGGGTTGGATAGTCAAGTTTGACTCCATAAGGCCGGCCAATAAGAACAGGCTGGGGGCGCCTGGGTGGCTTGGTAGTTAAGCATCCAGCTTCAGCTCAGATCATGATCTCATGGTTCATAAGTTCAAGCCCTGCATCAGGTTCTTTGCTCATAGCTCAGGGTCTGGAGCCTGCTTCAGATTCTGTGTCTCCCTCTCTCTCTGTCCCTTGCCTGCTTGTGCTCTCTCTGTCTCCCAAAAATTAATAAACATTTAAAAATTTTTAAAAAAGAAGAGAACAGGCTGGAAACTCAGGCAAGAGCTGAAGCTGCAGCCTATAGATGGGATTTTTTTCCTCCTACCTATTTTCAGAGAA